AGTTTCTGGCCAGGAAGATGTATATATATCGGAGACCGATGAAAGCCGAAGACGTATATGATGAGTCTAGTAGCTCAAACGCAAAACGCGCTAAAAAATCGAAACCACTGGAAAGAAAATAACTTGCCCCCTTATTTAAGTGAAAACTTTCCACTTCAAGGAGACATGGAGCTTCCAAGTTTTATCGATAAATTAGAGACGCCAGCGGAGTTCTTTTAATTTTTCTTTGACGAAGATTTGATAAACTTTATAGTTGAACAATCGAACATACTTGCGCTGCAAACAGACATAAATAAGTCGGCAAATATTACTAAGAGCGAAATAGAGCAATTTATAGGTGAGTTCAGCGTAAACACTGTGGAGAAATTTAGTGAAAATTTGTATTCAGGCATAGTCGTATACATGTCTTTGATGAAATTACCATCGTCCAGGCATTATTGGGATACTACAGTTGGCCAAGAATTTGTACGCACCTGCGTGACTTGCAATAGATGGGAAAACATTAAACGCTTTTTGAATTTCAACAACAATGAGGACATGAAATCGCCAGGTGAAGATGGATTTGACAAGCTGTTCAAATCTGTGAAAAGGTACTGCTCATACCAAAAGAGGAGCAACTGGTTGTGAATGAGCAAATAGTTACCCACAAAGTGCCGACATCATCTAAAACAATACATTCCGGCCAAACCGCACAAATGTGGTTTCAAGAATTTTGTTTTATGTGGAGTTTCAGGATTTAGCTACGATTTTGAAATATTTGCTGGAGCACAAAGTGATAAACCTCCAGAGGGATCACCGAATCTGGGAATCAGCGGAAATGTTACAAGGCTAGCAGTCACTGTACCGAGATATAAAAATTACAAATTTCTTTTGACAACTGGTTTACCAGCCCCGGCCTCTATGTGTATCTCATGAAAAGTGGTTTATTGTTTTTGGGTACGGTAAGACTTAATCGAGTCCCTAACTGTAAGACGCCGAGGGAAAAGGAATTGAAAAAATTGGGGAGAGGCAGCATGGTGGAGAAGGTAACTATAATCGACGGGGTCAAACTTGGCCTCGTTTCTTGGTTTGACAATAAGGTAGTAAATATTCTTTCAACTTTCGTTGGAAGCCAACCTATATCAACAAAGACACGTTTTAGTAAAAATGAGAAAAAGTATATTGAAATTCATTCACCACAGTCTGTGGACGTTTACAATAATTATATGGGCGGCGTAGACTTGATTGATTCACTACTTGGTCTTTATATGTGACCTGGTCTACGAAAAGGGAGCTAAGACTTTCCTTTGAATTCTATACGTACCGACTGTATTGTACACTTTCCGAAATGGATGAAAAATAGACAACTTTGTCAAAATGACTGCTCATTCCGTTCGTATACTTTTTGTGAGAAATGTAATGTATTCTTGTGCTACAATGACAAACGAAACGGTTTCACACGCTTCCACACTGAGTAAATGTAATACACTCCAAGCAACTTTGTATGCATAGAGAGCCATATATGGCGGCTTTTATTTTCTAGTAAAATATGCATTGTAAAATATTTTTTTCTACAAATATGTATAAAAGAATTCAAAATAAACGTATATTAATGGATTTTTTTTTTTTTTTCATAAAGAAGATGGCCATGCGGTAGAGGGTTAAATACATGATACAAGGGAGTAGGGAAAGTCCCATTCACCGTAGTAAAAGAGCCATTCACAGTCCTTAACCTACCCCTCAAGTGTATGTTCACAATGAAAACATCATGGCCACCTCTGGTGAATAAGGGTGGCGGGAGGTTAAAACGGGTTGCGTAAAGCAAAAATGCTTTAATTTTAAATTATAAATTTACAGTACTATATTTATACATTAATAAATACTATTTTAAATGTTGCTTATGGAATGAAATTTAATGCTGTTATCAAAAGATTTAATTATATCTTCTTGATATTAATTAATATGCAATATATTTTTTAAAACGCTTAAAAATAACTTATTCATGAACCAATTGGAAATTATTTTTGATATCATAATAATTAGTCTGACCAGTAAAACACAATTTTTATTGTAAGATAAATAAAGAGATAATTATAATAGCCATGTCTCATATATTCTTAAGAATAAATTTTTGTAATCACAAACTACATACACTTTTTATGTGTCAGAATTTAGCTATACGCCGGCGATCAGGAATCCTACACGTTCCCAAATGGAGTGTTTGACCATCCTAACAGATTTACCTTATTATTTTTTAGTTCAAAACTAAGTTTTTAAATAAAAAAGATTCTTAAAGGAATTATTTTTTGATTTTGCAATATCTCTATAGTAATAAAGAGTAGTAATACTGGCATAAATATTTGAAAAAAAAAAATGATTGTTCGAAATATACTCCATTTGAAATTATCCTAATCGATAATAACTTGTTTGGCCAAAATAAAAATACAACTCAAATTCCTTAATTTTTAATAGCGGTTCATTATTAACCAAATTACATTTTTTTTGTGTTTTAAAGATTAATTATCAATTTGCAAATCGTTCATAATCGACCATAATTCACTAGATGTAAAGACGAATTGTAATTCGCGTAGATACAAATGTTTCTTTTCAAGTCGCTGCTTGGCCACCAACTTTTCTTTGATGAGTGCTGTTTATTATTTGCGTTGTTGCCATTATAGTAGTTTTCTGCAAACAGACGTAGTTCTTCCCGATGTTTTATCGGTTTTGGTGGTGCAGGGTCCCCCACTCTCCCGATTCGTCATCATAATATTGCGCAACACGATATGGTCGCAATTCCCATGGTACTTGCTCTTCCATGGAGGTCAATGATACACCCAAATGACATCGGTAATACATTCGCGATCGATACGTTCCTCACCAATATGTAGCTCACCAATATGTAGCTCACCAATAGGTTGTGTATTCACATTCCTCATAACAACAGAAGTCACGCTGTTAAATTTTAACAGTTCTCCACATATTCAACTCAGAATATGAAGAGAAATAAATATATGTATTTACGGTATAAGATGAAATGGCATATATGCCGAAGCCAGAGAATATGAAGAGACATAAAAATATGTATGCATGCCCATGATAATACTCCGTTTTGCTTGTTTATATTTTGTTTTACTTTTGACAGCGAAAAATGTGTACAAAACACACCTCTCACACAGAG